AAACAAAATAAATGATAAATTTCTTATAAATAATTTAGTTGTTTATATTAAAAAGAATATTACCATTGTCGAATAAAATTTTTCTAATGCACTATTACAAGCTTTTTTCTTTTTATTTTTTTATTTACATGTTATAAAATTATTATTTATTTTAAATTTTTTTATTATTAATGGTTAAGTTCAATAAATTAATTTTAAAAATTTTTAACTTTTATTTTTTGTAACTTTTGACCTCTTAATAAAAATTGACTAACTTTATCTCTGTTCACAGTAACATCCATGTTCAATAGTCATTTTTCTCCTTTTATCATGTAGCCACTTTCCTTTTTCCTTTTTTCTTTTGTAAAATATAAATGATTTTGATAATAATTTTTTTATAATATCATGAGAATGAAAATTTTTGAGTTTAGAACTTTTCAAAATTGATAATAAATAATAATAAAAATTGATTTTGTTGATAAAAATATTATGAAATTGAACATTCAACTTTTAATTTTGAAATAGAGGAATATATAGTCCTTTACAAGAGTCTAAGAAAGAGAGACAATATTTGTTCAAATATTATGTTAAAGTCTTATCGTGCACCTAAAATATCTTAAAATTAATATATGTGAATTTTTTTTCTCTTCCCTCTAATAGAAATTATTGTATCAATTATTATCCATAAAGAATCTAACCTACTAGCAAGTCATTAGTAAATAGCTGAGATAGGATAAAAGGTTGTCTCCATGAACTAGACCGACCTAAGCAGAGCCACTCTCCCAGAGGCACAAAGCAATTAGTTACCTTCTTGAAGTGGAAATGGAGCAGAGCTCATGGGATTTCTGGGTAGAAGAAGCACTTTTAAAGCTTGAATCTCTCAAGTTGCTTCGGCCTATAAGGCCCATTCAGCTCTCACAAAAACAAGAAACGGAAAAGAAAGACGATGAAGAATACGATGTATTCAATGAACTGCAACCATGGGATCGGTCCGCTGTTGAAGTCTCAATCTCAGAGTCTTTCTTCCAGCAGTGGCTTCGTGGTAGGCGTATTTTTCTTCACAAAGTTAATAGTGCATGGTTGCTAGGAAAGGCAATGATCTTCCGACCACATTTAAGGCTTTTGGGTCATCATACACGCACGTTTATGTTTTTCTTTTCTTTTTCCTAATTACTAATTGCAAACCAGAGTCCAATTTAGTTTTGCTTCTTAGTCATGGTCAGTAATGAAGATCGAAGGGAGTCACACCACCTCACTTGAAGCTGAACCGAGCTGATCATTTCATTAAGTAAAATCCCAAATATATACTTTAGGGTCATAGTCTACGTACTACCTTTTATAAGTCATTTGTTTGTTTATTCTCGATTTGGAAATTGTAACAGGGTTCTTTTTTTTCCCACGTGCCCCTCATTATTTCCTCTCAAGCAGACATATGCTTATGTTAATATTCTAACAATGACATATCAAAATTGGCTTTTGGTTGTAATCCTATAGGAGATGATGAAGTCGTGTGGAGAGATGATTTACCTATTGATAAAGACAATGCAAACCAAAAGAAATTGAAGAAGCTATTTCTATTCTGTGGTAATGATTTCTTAGGCTTGAGTTCGCATCCAACAATAGCAAAAGCTACTGCTAAGGTATTCTTGATAATTGGTTACTTCTCAAGGAATTGAAATAACGAAACAGTCTTCATAGTAAGCAGATTATATGATCTGATCTGGAATTTCTCTCTAAGAGATTTTTGAACTCTAAATCAGGCTGCTAAGGAACATGGAATGGGCCCTAGGGGATCTGCGTTGATTTGTGGATACACCAATTATCACAGATCTTTGGAATCTAGCTTGGCGGACTTATTGAAGAAAGAGGTAACGAACTTTTTGCACGGGTAAACACTTGAGCATTTCACTCATTAATTGGTGCATAATATCCCTGCTTAAAAAATAAAGTTTAAATTCCTTTTCCTTATATCAAATAATAATAATAATAATAATTTTTGCACCGTGTAAATAGAGTGCCCTGAGTTCGTTATCCTTAGTTCACTGATGACTGCTGCTTGCTTTGATTTTAGTAAAATAACAGCATAATTTATCAAAAGGGTTAGTATTTTATTGGATTGAAGATATATTGTGAGTTCACCCTTGACGTTTGCATAGTCAATTCTTATATTTTAGACTGGAAATTAACTGATCCATTCTTGTTTCCAATTCATGCTCCCAGGACTGTCTTCTTTGTCCTACAGGGTATGCAGCTAATACAGCCTTAATGGTAGCGATTGGAAGCATTGCCCCTCTATTGGCTGCAGGGAAGAAGCCGTCTAAGGAGGAAACAATTGCCATATTTTCTGATTCACTTAACCATATGTCAATAATTGAAGGAATATATCTTGCTGAACGACGTGGAGGTGTGGAACATTTTGTATATAGACACTGCGACATGTCTCATCTTAACGAACTCTTGTAGGTTCATTTTACATTTAGAATTCAATACCATTATTGTTTTGGATTTATTTTGACAAGTGTTTGCGCATATTATATATAGCAATGAGTTTTGGTTTTTTACAGAACAAGCTGCAAAATGAAGAAAAAAGTTGTGGTGACAGATAGGTTTGTCATGTTGATTACTGAATTTCTACTTTCAATAGCCACTTAATTCACGTTTTGTGTTTTTTGATGCTGAGAAGATTAAATATACTGATTGAAGATTCGGAAACTGATCGCCAGGACCTGAATTCTGTCTTTTGTAGCTTGTTTAGTATGGATGGAGACTTTGCACCAATGCTAGAGTTGGCTGAGCTTCGCAAGAAGCATGGATTTTTGCTTGTGATCGATGATGTAAGTCCTCTATGTTTTTACAGATGATAAAAGTTGCTGCTTTCATGTCTGTCCTTGAAGACAAAGATCAATTACGTATGGACCGGATAGCCGAAGAATCAAACTTTAAAATAGAAAAATAATCTGAAAACGAAATTCCTAGATAAATCCCTGTCAGATTCCTTTACTATGCATTTCTAGTCGAGTCTGATACAGACCAAGATACCCTCTGTTCAATGTTTCAGGCTCATGCAACATTTGTATGTGGAGAAAACGGTGGAGGAGTGGCTGAGAAATTCAACTGTGAAAGAGATGTCGACATATGCTCTGGTTCTCTGAGTAAGGCAGCAGCTAATCTTGGTGGATTCATAGCCTGCAGGTAACTTCAAACACCTTCAAATAGGTCTCCCAAAAAAGGAATTAAACAAAGAATCGAATGGCACTGTCCACTGTATAGGATTAGGAGCATATAACATTATGTTTCATCAGTTTGTGATTCTGAATGCCACATGAACAGAAAAAAGTGGAAGCAGTTTATTCAATCAAGGGGACGCGCTTTTATATTTTCAACCGCTGCTCCAGTACCCTTCACTGCAGCCTTACATGGTAAACTGCAGTTTCTTCTTGTTAGCAACTATTCACTCACCTAAATACTATACTTGAACCATATTGTAGATAGATGGTGCGTACTTTGATGTAGGAATCTTGCGTTCATGTTATAAATGCTTTCTGTCACTGACTATGTCGACTTGGCAGCTGCTGTTATTGTGGCGAGAAAAGAAACCTGGCGCAGAAGGGCAATTCAGGAGAGGATGCGAGAGTTCCATGCTCTTACTGGAATCCCCATTACAAGTCACCTAATATCAATTGTTGTCGGAACTGAAGAGGAAGCTGTCCAAGCTAGCCGGTTTGTGCTGTCTTTCCTTCTCTGTCTCTGATTATGTTTCATCTACTGTCCAAATTCATCTGACAGTGTCAATTGCCATGGAATAGGTATCTGGTGAAGTCTGGTTTCTACGTGACGCCAATCAGACCTCCAGCTGTAGCTCCTGGTTCATGCAGGTTAGTTCGCCCTTTCCTTACTACCCTTACCTAGGCATGTTTATCTGATTTTGCTGCATCTAGTCGTTTGTCCTAAAATACCCTAGTGTAGCAATGCAATTGTACCATTGTGCACTTTGTAATCTTTTTGCTTTTCATCTATCCTTTTTCTTCCATTATCATTGTCAGGTTGCGAGTGACACTTACTGCAGTGCACACAACAGATGACATAAAGAGACTTGTAACAGCACTCTCCAATTGCATCAATTTCCAAGATATCAGTAACCGTCACTCTAATTTACTTGCCAAGCTGTAGAATTTCGATTGCCTTTTTCGATCATATAGGTCCATCGTCTATGGATCATATCGATCCATGATCTAGGGACCATATCATTTTATTTTTATCGAATGTCCTTGAAGAAAAAAGTGTACCAAGTCGAATTGAAACATGTTTGCAAATAAAGATGGAGCAGAAATAAACCATTTATCTACATAGAATCGCTCTATGAAATCTTTGTTTATAGCCAACAAATATACAATTTTTTTTCCCAAAAGAAATTGCCAAATTACCACAAATTTACATTGCGCGCGGCCTGCACCGCATCCAAGGTCTTGAGTGGTAGAATAGCTGGAGTAAGTAGAAGAAGCAGCTTCAAAGCTTTAATCTCTCTCGAGCTGCTTGCACCTATTTAAAGGCCTATTCTATCTCTCCAGTCAACAAGAAGAAGAAACAAAAGGCAATGAAGAAGACTACGAAGTTACTCCACAAAATGCAGCGGCCTTACGACGGCTCCACGCTTCAGGTTTCAGTTCCAGTCTATTTTTCACACTTGGATTGGGTCTTGAATTTGTGCGGTTTCTTGGATCTCTTTTGGGTGTGATATATATATTGAAAAGTAACAAATTTCATTCAATCCGGGAGTAAAGCTCCCTTGACAATAACAAAATGAGGATTTAAGGGCGTTGTGCATCTCTCTAGCATAACGGCCTAAAAACCTCAACGTTCTCTGTATAAGAACAATGTCTCTCATGACATAAAATAACTCATCAATCACCAAAACAAAAAACAAATCCCCTCTCTCTTACATACGACAGTGTACCCACCCCTTACAACACAGAGCACAGTATTGAAGTTATCAACAAAGCTAAAAAACCTGAAGCATCAAAATCAAGTCCAACAATCAACAAAGATAGAAGCAGGAGATAAAACACAAACAAACTCACAGAAAGCAGTCAGTGAGATTCCACTTGCCCCGCCAATTCCTCCATCCCAATCAAATTCTCCCCATCAGCTTAATCAAAATTGTGAAGGAGCTCCTTTTGTCGGTTAATCCTAGCTTTAGCAAGGTTGTCAGCCATTTTATTTTTCTCTCTTTTGTCGTAATGTGCAAAGTCCAAGAACCCGATTACTAGTAGCTGAAAAATTTTAAAAATTGCTACCAATCTTTTTTATCTAGGTGCAATTGATCATCCATTACGTTAGTTTTTTTTAACGATATCTTAAATTGATTTTAAGTCCGTCGAAAGAACAATGACTTGATCTGCGATTTTTTAGAGTTGGGTTAAGAAAAACAGTTACGTACGAAGAAGAATTAGTATCCTTGTGATACTCGTTTCAAAAACGGTACAATTTAATTATATGTTATCTTATTATAATCAAAACTGTTAGATTTTATTCTCATGTTTCTTTAATTACTATTTATTTACTTTATTTTTTATTTTATTAACAAATTAAATATTTTATTTAATTTTACAAGTGTGACGTGTACATAATGCAATTATGAAATGCATGACATAAAATTCGAATAATACTAAACGAAAACCTTTTTATTAAGAATATTTTTTAAATTCAACTATCATACTAGTGGGATATGTGAATATTTTCACCTAGAGAATTATTTAAGAAACTTACTTTCACAAGTTTTTATGGAACCCGTTTGTCTAAGGTTTTGAACTATAGAAGCTAAGCATGCGTTTTAGTTTTTTTTTTTCATTTTGATTTATTTATTTTATTTATTATATATTATTATTTTTATTTGAAAAAAAATAAATGTATACATCGATAAATGTGTTTAACCTTCCATGCATTAATTTCCATTTTTAATCTCTCAATGTGAAGGATCCATTTCCACAACCTCCAAGGTGCTTCTTCTGGTCTATTAGCCCACTTCACTGCATATCTGGAGTTACTCTCCCGAATTAATAAGTGTGATTAAGCCCATTTTAATGTTGAAACCTGAAAGAAAGCTTCTCTAATAGCTCTAATCTCAGCAATGGTGGAGTCCCCACCCCAGCAGACATGTAGAATAAAATCTTAATATGCCTATCAACACTAAATTTCAATTCTCCTTGGCTTGGTTTACTCCATCTTTCAGCCACTCTTTCCTTTTTTGCATTCTTTACAGTAACTCTCATAGCATGTTTGGCTCACCGGAAGGAATAGAATGAGAATAGAATAATAATTTCGAGAGAATATAATAGAGAAAGAATAATTATTATATAGATTAGTTCATGAGAAAGGGATAGCATAAAAATTGTTATTATTACTTATTCCATTGTTTGGTTGGTAGGAATAATTTTAAAAATAGATAAAGAATAATGGTTAAATGATAAAAATATCTTTTATTAAAATTTAAAGATTTTTTATTTAAAAAATAAAAATACTATGATGAGAAAAAAATATTTTTTATTAAAATTAAAGAATTTATTTTATTAAAAGATAAGTATACTTTTTATTATAATTAAATAATATTTAATATTAAAATATAAAATATATTTTTTATTAAATTTAAATAATATTAAATAATATTTATTATAGTTAAATCATATTAATATATTAAATAATATTTAAATATTTTATTTTATTTTTTGAAAATAAAGTAAAAAAATTTGTATCTTCTGTGCTTTGGAGAGAGGAGTGAAGAAGAGAGAGTAAAAAATAGGTATAGTATATTTTTATAAAATAATTTTTTAAATTGTAAAAGGGTATATTTATCTAATTAATTTTTTTTCTTATTCTCAACAATTTGGAATAACCATAATCGAGAGGGCCTTGATAATGACTATTCAGGCTTCTCTTATAATGGTTATTTCGAAGAATAGCTATTTTATTAAATCAATGAAGCTTTATCTCAAAAATAAAAATATAAGAAGAATAACTATTCCATTTCCTCCAACCAATCATGTCATCAGAGTTGGTTCCTAAAAGTGTTCAAAATAGTATCGTATTTGAAGGGTCACCTAGCTTTTGCCCAAATGGCTTAGTTACTTGAAACATCTGTTCAACATCCCACACCTTTCTTTTGGAAACCATGTCATTCCGCTGAAGCCATATTGACCATGAGATGGCATAGAAAGCTACTTTCGACAACTTGTGTTTGTTCTGAAACAAAAGATGTTTCAAGATAATAAGATTATTGAGAATAATGACAAATTTAAAATTTTACATAAAGAGTACATATATATATATATATTAAATTTTCTACTTACAATAATAAAAATATTAAAAATTGAAGAGTGATGGTGGCCACACTCACCTTCCCTTAACTCCAATACCTTGATTGAGAGATTTTGGACTGATTCAGAAGTAACAAAACAATATGAATACCTGGGGCAAGTTGTAGATTTGTCTATTGTCACTGACATAAGGGTGATCAAAATCTCTGATTTGCTGTGATTCTCCAAGATTCGGATAAGGGCTGAAAGGCGGTGAAGAGAATAGCAGCGAGAGAGGGAGGAAGGCGGCTAAATTCTTTTTCAGATTAGTGTACATGGATAGAGTTAGAGAGCCTGAAAAGTGAAAATGTAATGCATATTTGTAGGTATTGTTCCCCATCCGGCTATCACGTGAAACATGGTCTAGTATTATTTTCATTTCTCACAAGTTCTAGTAACCTTCAACAATCAAATGGCTGACTCTGGAGTTAAATTTGGAGATGAAGATTCCATCCCTTCGCCACCGTAAATATCTACCAAACCATGCATGAAGCCAGCTTCTACGCAAAAAGACATGAAACTATGCGAGCCGTGCTCGTTAATGACAGTGTCAAAATGGTTTATTTAAATCTTTACAATGGGACAGTAAGATTAAGACCAAAGACCAATTTGGATAATTCTGTGTTCAATGGACAGTCATGTCGGTGGAGGAGGTAGTTTTTGCTGTGACTCCAATGATAAGTGGCTATGCCTTTGCCATTTTCACATGGATCTTGGCTATGGCAACAACTTTGCACCACTAAGAAAAATTCTTCAAATTGTGGGAGGGTGGACAATGGGGAAGGTCGAGCCCTGTTCCACCAATTTTAGGGTTTCACTTTGTTTCAGATTTGGTTCATTTTTAGTATTTGGATCATCTTTTATCAAAGTTCCATCTCATTTTAAAGTTTGGGTATGTCATGGCTATTTTCTGAATTTTGATAAGAAAGTTGTCTTAAATTAATTAAAACCATTTTTTATATGAATTATTTATAAGTCTTACTTACTCATCTTCAGATATAATAATTTTGATTTTTTTTATCAATTATTTTCTGTCATTTTCAATTATTAGATTACCCTAATTTAATTCAAAAAATACTGACATGAAAAAGAGCACAACGATTTTGCATATCGCATAATAGTCCTTTTAACTTCAATTCAACATCATATATTAATCTTAATTGTAGGTTTTGATTAAAAAATTTTATTGGAAATATTCTGTAGTAAAATAACCAATATCTATACATATATCAATAATAAAGAAAAATATCTATTTAACATTATGTGCATCACGATTGATGCCATTCCCACAATAATTAAGACATCGATTATAATCATTGAACTTGACAGGAAAATATCAATTGAATATTGTCTATAAATAATCTAATAATTCAAAAGGAATCTATTACGTCCAAATGAGCCAATTATATCATAAAACAATTTAGGCTTGAGTTATTAGTTCTTGTTTTGCATGTATGAAGTCATGTATAATATCAAACACATTTATAATTTGTTTTATCTTTTATATTGTACAGCGGCAAGCAAATTTGTATGTATACTAGTTTTTTTTTTTTAAAGATAATTTTATTAACCTCATCAACTCGTATGCCACTTTAAATTTTTTGCTATTTAGCAATGGACTTTCCATAATTTATTGACATGGTCCGAGCAAAGAAAATTATACACTTCCAAAAGAAAGTACAAAACATTAATTGGCTGTAAGATCGTATGTCTTCATCTCCTAACTTACAATGTAGGAAGAAAACAACTGCTATGTTATTTTTTTATAACTCTGAAACTTTAAGTAACTACAATTAAAAAAAAGTTAATCTAATCCTTAGTTTTTAGCCTAATTATTTTATAATAAGTGAGACTTTGGTGTAAATTGTGTTGAGTTCATGTGAATTTAAGTTTGAGTTTGTTGGCTTTTTATATTGATGTTGTTTTCATTGATTTCTCGAGAGTAAATTATAAAAATTTTTCTCATTAAAGTTAGCTTTAACCTCTCTTATTTCAA